GTAAACCTTCTTTGTGAACCACACGTGTCACGAGGGTTTCTCTGTCGAACGGGGCAAATCTTACACTACTGATGTATCTGCAAACTGCAAGCTTTCTCTAGTTTGAATTGTCATAATGCCTAATTTGAGGGACAGTCCTTCAAGATCATGTTGGTAAACAATATTTTAATAAGACACATATCTACTCTGAAGTCACTCAGTTTAGTGGGACTTATTCTCTGCTAAGCACATACAAAATTCCAACCAAATTCTGTTTTCAAAAAAGATTATAACTGAGACGTTGTTAATTAACTCCTATATAATGCATAGGACAATCTGTAGACTTTATTCTGAACAAAAAGATTATTTATTGTATCTGTAATATCTGCTCAGCATTAATCCGTTGTAACCTTGAGATCACTTGGCTTAAATTTCCCAACTTTCTGTTCTGTTAAAATTTAACTAATACAAATAAATGGCTGCCCCAAACAGCCAACCACATTTCTTGTTTTCATGAATTATCTCTTTAAAAAAATGATATTTATTAAGAGTGCTATGTTTGATTGGAAGGGTAAGTGATCTATGCTTGCAGCGCTATTTCCGTTGCTATATTATCACCCAGGCTTCCCATGAATGTTTTTTAATCCAACAGGGTAAGTCTCACTTCTTTTGCAAAGATCAATTGATTATTATGTTGGGCTATTTTGTGCACTGCTTCTAAAACAAATTTTAAAAAAGAATTGCTTTCCTGAATCAGACCATTGTTATGTCTCTAGGCATGCAGCAATCTAGCAGAGATCTTTGATATATCTCTAGGATGCTCCCAAGCAAGGCGTAACCCTAACTGTTTTTTATTCCAGCATTTGAATTGCTGTCACTGAACAAAGAGATTCTACTTAACTGTCTATCACTGTACAGGTAGTCCTTGCTTAATGACCCTAATTGGGACCAGCAACTCTGTCACTAAACAAAGCGGTTGTTAAATGAAACATCATGTGACCACCCCGCTTAGTGACAGCAGTTCCAGCAGCCTCAGTTGCAGTCATTAAGTGAATTACTCATAATCATTAAGCAAGACATCATGTGATCACAACGTGTGACCTCCTGCTGGCTTCCCCATTGACTTTGCTTGTCGGAAGCTAACTGGAAAGATTGCAAATGGTGATCATGTGACTGCAGGGCACTGTGACCATCATAAATATGTGACAGTTGCCAAGTGCCCAAATTGCGATCATGTGATGGTTGTAAGTGTAAGAACTGGTCATAAGTCACTTTTTTCAGCTCCATTGTAATTTTGAATGAATGGTTGTTAAGCAAGTCACTGAATGAATGGTTGTTAAGCAAGGGCAATAATAATAATATTATTATTATAATAATAGTAAACTCTGGTAGTGAGCACCAATAGAAACGACAAGAACATGGTATTAGCATGCTTGGGAGAACTCTGAGATTTACAAATATATGTGTGTGAATGATGTGTATGTATGTGTGTATGTGTGTGTGTGTATGTATGTGTACGTGTGTGTGTGTGTATTCTCCAGTAAAGAAAAGTGAAATTTGTAGGTGGTGGATGAATGGTTGGAATCTATAAAAGGAGTACCTTTGTTTTAAAAATCAGGATGCAACATTTCATTACAGGTCTTATTAGTAATGGCTATAATTCACTGGAACAATTATGCCTTTTAAAATAATGAATGGCTAAGAGCCACCCATGTTGGTTCTGACTGGAGCTCCCATGAATGAAAATCCTGTTGTACTCTTCTTTTAGTTTCAGCTATGAATGTATTACTCTATAAAAGATGTAAGTTCTAGTACAATTAGCTTCTCCAGTTATTCATAGAATGGTAGAAAAGAATGCTTTCTGAAGTTTTTATGCAACTCTGTACACATAGGCATCCATGTTTTCCCAATGTTAGCACATATCTCACCTCCATTTACCATGTGACATATCATTTAAGACAAACATTAACAGACTGGGATATGTCCAGAGGAGGGCTATCAGCATAATGGAAAAGTTGGAACCAAGTCCTACAAGGAATGGTTGAAAGGTTCAGGTATATTGTATGTAACCTGGGCATGAGATCATGAAAAGATAACATGATACTTACTTTCCAGTATTTGAAAGGTCATCATGCAGAAGATAGGAGAGGTTTGTTTTTTATTGTGCAAGGAAGCAAAATTAAAACTAGCATGCATAGAAAATGTAGAGATGCAGATTTCAGCAAAACATTAGGAGAAACATTAAAACAACTGGAACTTTGAATAGACAACTTCAGACAGTAGCAGGATCTTCTCTATCAGAGATATATGGCTGGTCATATGCTGAATGGTCATCTGACAGGGAAGTGGTTGACTGCTGCACTCAAGAAGAGACTGGAGACCCCACGTTCCTCCCAAGTATGTCAAAACTACCATTTTATGATTACATATTTGGTCATAGGATGTTGTGTTTTACTTCTGTATTCGAATATCATCCCATATTTCTCAGAATCTGTTGCAACATTACACTCGACATTATGTCCCAGCACACATTAATTGTGACATTTGGCCATGATTGCGATGTCCAGCTGTAGACTGAATATTGGGAAACGTGGATGCCAAGTTTTATCCAGTTGCAAAAAAGACTTCAGAAAGCATTCATTTCTACCATTCTGTGTGTAACTGGAGGATCTGATTGTTCTAGAACTCCTAACCGGCTCAGTTTATTTTTGTGAGAATTGTCAATGCAATTTTACAGCAGAATATGCTTGGGAATGTTGTGGGATCTCCTTCCCTAGGTATTTGCCCGAGGAGGCTGGACCGGTTTCTGTTTGGGATGCTTCGAGGCTAGTTCTTACACCAAAGGCTGTATCTGATGGTAGCAGTATAAAAGGGTGGTTGGCATGTATGTATAGTTTGCCACAGATATAGCCCTGTCTTTTAATCCATCAGTGGGAGATTGCAAGGAATCTGGGATGGAACTGAACACAGACATAAACAATCAAGTGGGCAACTCAGTCAACAGCTTGCCTCCTAAACAGTAACTTAGCTTAAGTGGAAAGAAATCAGGGAGGAAGCATTTCAAAGGACTCAGAGTGACTCTGCCTTCATTAACTCAACATTAATGGGATTAGAAAATTCTTATTACCATTTCCAAGAATCTGGATTTTCACCTGATAAGCATAATGATGCCTTACTAATTAATAATGCTGATAAGCATTAATGATCCCCCTCCCCTCCTCCTCCTCCTCCTTCCT